TTATATATTTAAATGCCATTTAACAAAGAAAAATCAACCAAAAAAATGAGTTCATAGGTTCGCCATCACTGCCCTAGTGGGTTGGTTAAGTGGTTAGAGCATTGGCCCTTGGACTAAAGGGTCGATGAGGGCTGGATTCTGGTCAAGGACACATACCTCAGTTGCAGGCTTGAATCCCACCTTTGGTTGGGGCGCATGTGGGAGGCAACCAATCAATGTGTCTCTTCCAAATGGGTGTTTCTCTTTCTCTTTTTCTCTCCCCCTCTCTCCTCCATTCTCTCTAAAATATCAATGAAAAACGTATCCTCGGGTGAGGATTAACAACAACAAAAAGAGGCCTCATTGGATGAATATTGGTCCATTGGGTGAAAATGAATGTTTATTGACAAGGGCCTCCATCGTTCACTCTACCATCTGGTCATCTGCCTTGAAAAAGGATAACGTGTGTCTAGAGAGAAAGAATTTAGGGCTTAAAGGTTATCTTGCTCAGAAAGCCAAGTCTTACCTGGGCTAGGTAGCAACCATTGGCTGAACGAAGCTGCAAAATGGGTCTGTCATTGTCACTTTCAAACTGGAACAAGGACATTGGGGTTAAGTGTTCAGAGGCAGCATATACCTCAACATCTGCAGAAGAAGAATATGTCATAATAAGCCTGAGTCTGGTCTCATCCTCAGTTTCAGCCCCTTCTCTATGCTTTACGACTGGGGTTCCCTCTGCTTTCCCTCCTTGTCCTCCATTACCTTCTATTGGACCCTAGAAGCCTGGAGAAGACCCAGGACCCTTTCCCCTAAAGCCCACACCCCTGCTTTATTGCCCTTCTCCATGGCACAGAGATCTTGGGACCCCTAGATATTCCCTATGAGTAGGTTCAAAACTCCTCACTGATCCCAAACACATTTTCCTCTTCTCAGTAGCTAGCCCTCCCTTCCTCCATGGCTGCATCGGACCCAGTACTTGCCATAGAGGACAGAGAGGAACTTCCGAGTCTTTGCCCTGAGGCTGACCCAGGTGGGGCAATGCTGTAGGATGAACCACTCCTCGCCCCTATGGGGATTGGAGCCCAGGCCCAGGAGCAGGCGTGGGCCCTGTGCATACAACATGCCCCCTTCTCCATCACTCAGTGCCACGACTCCTCCAGGCCGCACTTGCATGTGAAAAGCAGTCTGTGACGAGGGTTTGGAGACCAGTTGGTCTAAGTGGGACAAGAAACAGTGTGTAGATGTCTCCAGGTGGTAGCATCCATCTTGGAAATGCAACAGGAATCCACATTCCCCCAGGCAGGGAACTGGTGCGTCCACCCAGACACAACCCGAAGTAGAGTCGGCCCTGGCATAGCAGTGGTTGAAAGGGCTGTAGAGGATCACGTGGGCATGCAGGGCTGGCCGGGGTGTCCACATATGGTAAGCTGAGAGGACCCGGGAGTTGCAGAACACATCGTGGCCATCGGACTCCAGATAACGACCACTGATTATGCACTGGAGGGTCCACTTGCCATTGCGGTGGAAACGGAGTAGGAAGCATCCGTGGTGGCTTGTCCTTGGCCGGTCATAGCACAGAGAGCCATCTGCCTCACACAGAAGGTAGTGGCCCTGCAAGCTCCTTAGCCGTACCACAGCCTGTGTCTCATGCTCATTGCTGACCAGAATCTCCCAGGTCTGGAAGCATTGGGAGGGAGGAGAGGGAAATCAGTACTGCAAGTGGTTAGACCAAGGAGTCCTACAACCATCACCTCAGGAACCACCCTAGAACCTTCCTCAAGTCCAACCAACTTCCCCTCCACCTCAGTCTCCTTGATGTTGGTTTCTTTACTCTCTCATCCAACAGTAATCAAAAGATCTCAGGACACCTCCCACACTGGAGCCATAGGGCTTCTCAGGATCCCAAGAGAAGTTCTGGATGGCCACCTCCAACTAATGGGAGGTAAACCTCCCTCTCTTCCTTGACCACTTTCTTCATTACCTAGTGTTTTTTTTAAAATATATTTTATTGATTTTTTTACAGAGAGGAAGGGAGAGGGATAGAGAGTTTGAAACATCGATGAGAGAGAAACATCGATCAGCTGCCTCCTACACACCCCCTATTGGGCATGTGCCCGCAACCAAGGTACATGCCCTTGACCGGAATCGAACCTGGGACCCTTCAGTCCACAGGCCGACGCTCTATCCACTGAGCCAAACCAGTTAGGGCTACCTAGTTTTTAAAGAAATGTTTTGGTTTAAGTCTTACTTCTCTCTTCCTTACTGTTGCCCCTGAATAGCATACTCAGCCAACACTTTCATCTCCAAAGGACACCTCCTGAACATGGCAGGAGAAAAGCAAGACCTCTTACAGGCAGGCCTGGGCTCAGGGATGAGTCAGGGAGCACAATTTAGATGCAATTGTTTGCTTTAGCTGCGATCAACCCTGTTATAAGCGAGAGGATCTCGCTACTGCTTCAATCTTAGTGCCATCCCAGAGGGGCCTACATCGCTCTCTAAAATGAGAACCAACTCTCCTAGGGCTTCTAGAGCACCCCATTTCCAAACTACAACCAGGACAGAAACATAGTCTTGCAGTATCCACTGATTTAACTGTTGAATCCCCCAAATTCTGCCTTCCAGCCTGAGCTCTCCACCTCTCCTCTTTGTGATGACACAACCACGCTGTGCTGGAATGCAGGGTAGGGGACATACAGAGCTAGACAAAATAGCGAGGCCAGGGCTGAGCGTCACCTCCTGGAATAGGTTTAGAGACAGGGAGATGGAGCAAGAGACCTGTGGGCAAGAGCCTGGGGTAGAAGGGTCTTGAGCTAGCAATGGCAGAGGCCAGGAGAGTAATCAGGTAGAGTGCACTCTCCCCTCCCCTCGTCCCCCCACGTGAGAGCTTAGTCACTGGGGACAACGGTTCCAGTACAGGTTTACTCTGTTACCTGTCTCCGGCCCAAACCTTTTGCAGAAGTAGTGACCATATTCTTATATGGCTCATAAGTGAGGTAGGATCCTGCCCAGCTGATGAGCCCAACCCTTAGGTCTTCCGGCTTGGGTCGTCTTTGCATCCATTCCACCTCCTCCATGGGGCCGGCACCACAGCTGATGACTCCTTCCGGCCCAGCCTTCCCCCCAGTGGTGAGGTTCCACAGGCCATAGGGCCTGGAATCAGGCCCAAAGCACCCACCGGAAGACGTTCCCAGAGGGAACTTTCCAGGCAGAGGCTGACTAGGGCTCAGCACCTCTGTGACCCGGGTGCATTGTGACTGAGAGCTGCCCCTCATCCCACCATAGTGGGGAAAGGGCCCTGGCCCAGCATCAATCCATGACCCAGAGGAAGTGGGCCCAGGCTCGGCATGAGCCTCTCCACACCACTCCGGGCACTGATGTGGGCTGAGTTAAGACTGAGAATCAGAATCTCAGCTGGTGCCAGTGACCACCTGTGACTTCAGGTAAGTCCCTCTTCCTCATCACTTCTGTTTCTCTTTTAAATCACAGGGAAAAAATCAACCCTTTTTCTCCTAGAAAGTGGGTTCTACCTGGCTCCCTTGGGGTTTAAGGTGTTTTTGGAGTTCATAATATCCAAGAAAAATCTGTTAACTTTTATGGCCCTTGGGAGGATGAGGCTAAGATGTCAGGGAGGGTGAGGATACCCTAGAGCAGGGGTCCTCAAACTTTTTAAACAGGGGGCCAGTTCACTGTCCTTCAGAACGTTGGAGGGTCGGACTATAGTTTAAAAAAAAAACTATGAACAAATTCCTATGCACACTGCACATATCTTATTTTGAAGTAAAAAAACAAAACGGGAACAAATACAATATTTGTATTTGCATGTGGCCCGCGGGCCATAGTTTGAGGACGCAGCCCTAGATCAGTGGTTCTCAACCTTGGCTGCACATTAGAATCACCTGGGAATCTTTTTAAAATCCTGATTTCTGGGCCTCATCCTCCGGAAATTCTGTTTCTTTGTTATGGGGTGAGGCCACAACATTAGTAACAAAGAAACAGAATTTCCCGAGGATGAGGCCCAGAAATCAGGATTTTAAAAAGATTCCCAGGTGATTCTAATGTGCAGCCAAGGTTGAGAACCACTGCCCTAGATAGATAACCAGCAAGGAGCAAATGACTCATTTTAACCAGGAAAGGCTGGCTCAGGAGCAGGGGAAGAGAATAGCCCGGGAGGGGAGAGTCCCGAGCACCCATCATAATCCCCAGCTGCACTGCTGCTGCGCAGACAACCAGTGCTGCCTCTAATACCAGCCCAGACCCCCAGAGTCTCTGTTAGCCTTTACCTCTGGGACTCACTTCCTACAAAGCTCATGGAGAAAATAGCCCACAACCTGGAGAAACTGACATGAAAGAAGGGAGAACAGCAAATAAAATAAAATACTAGTAAAAAGGTGGTGATGGTAGGTTTTAAGCTTTGCTGGGATGCAAAGGGAAACGGGCAGAGTGAGTCACGCTTGGAGAGTAGCCCACAGCCCTGGTCCTATTCCCCATTGGCGGGGGTTGTCTACCCAGGTAGAGAGTCTCAGTGGTGCACAGTAAGGAACTGTAATCCCTAGGCCCTACCAATGTTTCACAAAATAAGGCGAATAGACCACAGAATTGGCTGCGTGACTTTAAAGATGCATGTTCATGTTTTCTCCAGTGTACCTCAGGACTCTTGTTTTTAACAAATGTTCCCTCCCCCTCAAATTTCAATGTGATAGTAATCATTAAGAACCACAGCTGGCTAGGAGATGGATAGGATAGGAGAGTTATGTGGTTTACAGAAGCAAGAAGTTAGATCCTATTACCCTCAGCAAAGGCCCCTTGGAATTGGGATGAAATAGGATTTCCTCCACTGGAACCCCTGCAGTACTTCCCGCCTCAATAAGGAGGGAGCTGCTGAGCTACATGAAGGCAGCAATGTATGTGTGTGTGCTTGGGGGGAGGGGGTTTGGCCCTGCAGCCTTAGCTGCTTTGAACCTCCTCCATATTGTCTCGTTGCATCCAGTAACCCAGCCCCCACTACTAGGCTACAGACCACATCATGTACAAACCACAGCAAATTTATTACTCAATATCCAGTGCCATATCTTAGCACCACCCGGAGCCCCTCGTCCCTCCCACCTGGCCCCAAGGGTATGCCCAAAATGGAACAAACAAAAGTAAACCCAGGTCCCTGCTCCTCCTCTGGAAGAAAGGGTCTCGGTCCTGGAAGCCCCTTCCACAGGTCCCAGCAGGCAGGAGAGTGGACCCCTCTGTGCCCAGAGAGCAAGGCTCCAGGCCCCAACAACAGAGAGAACATGCAGGCAGGAGGGGCAGGAGCAGAGGCCTGTGTCTGTGGGAGGAGGAGCAGGAGGGCAGGGCACTGCCTGAGGAGTCCGGGAGTCTGGTGATCCCGGGGATGCACGCGGGGGCTTCCGGGCAGCAGGGGCCGGCCCCTGGTTGGTTAGCGCTTAGACAGCTCATGGGACAGCCAGTCCAGCCCATCGTATAGGCCTGTGCCTTGGGTGGCACAGGTGGCCTGGACGTACCACTGGGGGGAGAAGGAAAGAAAGAGGTTAGTATCAGGGAAGAAAAAGGGGGATGCCTTCACTTCCTGCCCAGCCTGTGGCTCCCTTGGGAGAGGCAGGACCCTCACCGTGCGACTGCGCAAGTGCTGCAGGCCCAGCTTGTCGGTCAGCTCGCTCACGGGCATGGCGTTGGGCATGTCCTGCTTGTTGGCAAAGACCAGCAGCACCGCATCCCGAAGCTCGTCCTCCTGCAGCTGAGAGAGGCCAAGGGGGTGGAATCTGGGGTCCTTTGGGGTCCCCAGGCTCCCTCTTCCCTGCTGTGTAGGGAAGCTCTCCTTTCCTCCTTCTAGCATATTTGTGGGAAAAACAAAATATTGTGTACTCTGCTGCTGAACACAAGACACACAGTTATAATTCACTGGAGGCCATATTGGCCTTAAGTCTAGAAAGAGCCTTTTTCTAATTTGAGTAATTGCCTTAATCAAAATGACAAAATTTCAAAATGGAAAAGCAAGAACGTAAGATGATGTTTCTCTCCACCACATATTCCCCTCTTCCCCCTAACTCCTCAGACTCAGAGGTGAGGATGTGAAAATTCATGTCCTATACTTGTTACCTGACCCAAATTCAGAACAGGGTGAGAGTCTCCTTGTGTCTGCGTCCACAAAGAGAAACACACATTCAAGGCCCGTGAGGCATTTCCTGACTGCACACCACGACAGAGCCCTGTCTCCACACCGAGGGCTCAGTCCCAGGGCCCTGGCGCTCACCATCTTCTGAAGTTCATCTGCCGACTCCTGGACCCGCTCCCGGTCATTACTGTCCACCACGAAGATGAGACCCTGGGCAGAAAGGAAGGTGGAGCAATCACTCCCATCTAGAACATACTTTAGTCTGGCTCTTTCTCTCTTTAATCGTCTCTAAAAACTTCCACTAAGGCTCGGCAGATGTCCTGGCACAAAGTGGAGGCACCCTGCAAAGGATACAGCTTCTGCCCTCAGGCAAGCAATCTAGCTAAAAGACATAGGTGGGAATAGGGAGAGAGGTATGAGAGCTAAATCAGGCAGCCTGGACCCTGGACCCCAACCCTGCTTCTCAGAACACCCCTAAGGTGGCTGGGTCTCAGAAGACTAAGGCCAATTCTGAAGGATGATGAGAAGCTAGCTTACCAAAGGGGAAGGGGGTGAATGGAGCAGGGTTTTAACCTGGCCTGGGGGCCCAGATTAGGCCAACTTCTCAGTCTTCCTAACCCTAACACCCCCTCCCCTGGGGTTGGGGAGACATCCCTGCCCCCACCTGAGTGTTCTGAAAGTAGTGCCTCCACAGAGGCCGAATCTTGTCCTGGCCTCCCACGTCCCAGACCGTGAAACAGATGTTCTTGTATTCCACTGTTTCCACGTTGAAGCCTGCAGATAATTGGGAAAGAGAGAGACAGAGAGAAAGTCCTGAAAGGAAGGAACTCACTAAAACTAGGTGAATTCAGCAGGGACACAAAACCAGAGGGCAATGATCAAGGCCCAAGGGATCAGAAGCCCAGAGACCAGCAGTCCACAAATGGGGCGGGGTTAGGGCACATCCGGCCCTCCTGGGCACCATCCAACACGTAAAGATACCGTGACCCACTTCTCAGGTAGCTGTATCTGGTGTCAGCTCCCAGCACTGGGGTGCAGAGTGGGGGGTAGACCCCGAGGAGGTCAGCCGCGGCGCGCTCCCGCTCCTCCAATCTGGCCTCCAGACTCACCTATGGTGGGAATGGTGGTGACAATCTCCCCCAACTTCAGTTTGTACAGGATTGTGGTCTTGCCAGCTGCATCCAAGCCAACTGCAAAGGAGAGGGGCCTGGCGATAGAGATAGGAGCGAGGGAGCCCCCTAGAGACCAGGGAAGGGGAAAGGCCAGGACAGCTGATGGTGATGATGGTGATGGGGCGAGGGGCCGAGAGCCCAGCGCCTTCAGGTGAGCGCTGTGGTCCACCTTCCGGGCCTGGAGGGCAGTCTGGGTGGTGAGCGAGCGCCAACTCCTGAACCCAAAGCCGGAGAGGAGGGACGGGAGAGGACTCGGGGTGGAAGGTCACAGGAGGAGAGTCCCGCTCCTTTGAAAAGTCGTCTCCAAGGGCGGAATCCTCCCTTCTCACCAGCCGGGCAGGGGCGGAGGGCGCTTCACCCCACCCAGGCCCGCAGCTCCCGGTCTCAGGGCCCGGGGTCGGCGCTGCAGACCGCGACCCGCCCGAGAGCAGTGGCCCGCGGGGTGGGGGGAGTGGGTGACTCAGGGTCAGGGGTCGGCTGAGCTGGGCTGGAGGGACCGGGGGCGGAGGCTGCGCGGGGGCCGGCGCTCCCGTCCGGGCCGCGCGCTCGATCTGCCTCACCCATGAGGATCCGCATCTGCTTCTTCCCGAAGATCCGAGAAAAGAGCGCGGACACGGTGAGGCCCATGCGGGGCCCGGGGGAGGGGGCACGGGCACGGACACGGGGGTGCAGGCTGGAACCGGCCGGTCGCGGGGGGATGGGGCTCGGCAGCAGCAGGAGGAGGAGGTGCCGCCACCGCCTCCGCGCGTCCCGGCCCGCCCGACGTCACTGCAGCCCCGCCCCGGCCCCCCGCCCGCCCCGCCCCGCCCCGCGCCCGCCCCGCGGCTCGGGCTCCGGGAGTAACTGAAGCTGACCGCGTCTCCGCTGCCCGGCTGCGCGCCGCGCCAGCTTGAAGGAGGAAAGGGTCAGGTTTCCCCACCTGGTTCTAGCGCGCCCGTCACGTCTGCGGCTGCGGAGCCGGCATCCGAGCGGCTCACCTCTGCACGGTGGCCCCCTTCCCCATCACCCGTGGCGGCCGCAGGGCTTTGGTTTGCAGCGTTGAGCCCACTCCGGGCTCCGGCTTAGCTCTTGGTAACTAGCAGCATGGACTGGGAGCACCACCCTCTCAGGGATGCGGGAGCTCCGGGCTGAGGTCTTAGTCCTCCCTTTTGCCCCCTCAGCTCCTGGAGCGAGGGCATGACTTTACTCTTCAGTCATAGACTTGCATTCCTAAGCAGGATTTTTTTTTTTTTACAAGGCCAAAGAGTACATTTAAAAGAGTCCCAGCATAATAACACACGAGTGGTGAACAATCAGATCAGTTCTGCATCTTTAGCTCTGTTATTAACCTCTTTCTTCTCATCCCTGTTGTCACTGCCCTATTTCACTACCATCTCTTCTCAGGATTGACTTCGCCTCTTCACAGGTCTCCTGCCCCTTGGTATCGCCACCCAGTCATACCAGTCTTGATGATGCCACTCTTGCAATTAAAATTTAGTGTATTACTACCCAGGACAAAATCTAAAAGCCTTAAATTGGGTCCATACGCCAGCCCCATCTGTTGCCGCCTCCTTCACATACCCTAAACTACTGCCTTGTGATGACTCTCCATGCTTTCCAGGTGAGCCAGGCTCCCTGAAGCCCTAGGAGTCCTTGCAATCGTTTCCCTCTCCTGGAATGCTTGTTTCCCTCATCTCTAGTTATATGGGCAACCACTACTCATCCTTCAAATCCCAAAGTGTTTTCCTTGACAGCCTTCTCTGCTGCCCCTAGATAGGCCTCCCTCCTAATTTCCATTTCACATTAAATATACTTATACACGCTGGTACGATGGCAGGACTTGTATTTGCAGGCCTGGTTCCTCACTAGATGTGAGCTCCTTGAAGGCAGGGCCTTGTCTCTCCAGGGTGATTATCTGGCATGGCACCTGATATGTTGAGAGTGGGACTGATCTGCAGAGGATTCCTAAACTTACTGTGTGACCTTGGGCATGCTACTTAACCTCTCTGTGCTTCATGTTTGCCTATCTGTAAAACAGTGCTCATGATACCCACGGAGCAGAATTATGGTCCGACCACATGGCAAAACTCTTGTGAAGCTTCTGGCATATAGTTGGTGGCACTTGGGAAAGACGTTTTGGCTATAGGGTGCCCTCTACAAACACTTGTTGAATTAGTTCAGCAGATTCAGAAGGGGTGCTAAGACTTATTATACTATACGCCTACTAGGTGCCAAAGGCTGGCCTAGAAAGGGTTGCTGTTTTCGTGGTCTAAACGGGAGTCTTCATTGTTGCTCTTTAGGTACAAAGGGACTGAGCCCTCAAATAGTGGGGACCTCGCTCACCCGCATGTTTGCTAAGGACAGTGCGACGTCGCCTGGTCCCGTGCGGATCGCAGCCTGAGGGCAAGCTCAGGCGAACCTCCTGCAACCACCGGCACCGCGTGCCCTCAACTTGCGCTTGCTCTGCTCTTCGCGACAGCTGTCCGCTTGCAGCCCCGCTAGATTCTCAACAGGCGGCTCCCACGCAGGGGCTGCGGTAGCCCCGCCCACTCCGTGCCCTGGGGGCGGGGCCTGTGGCGTCGTGCTGTCGTCACTTCCAGCGGACCCGGAAGCGCCCCAGACGGGCCGCTGCAGGTAGGAAGTCGTGGTGGGGCTGCTGCGCTCAGCTCAAGCCCTTGCGGACCCGGGCCAGGCCGGGGCTGCTGACGCCCCGGCGAGCGAGGAGCCGGAGCGGCCGCTGGGACGGTGCGGGCGAGGCCTGGAAGTGCGCTCCTATTGTGCTGGCGTCGCCCCGCCTTTGGGTAGGACCCGCCCCCGCCCTCGGTGGAGGGACCGGGGGCGCTCTGCCAGGCCGCCCCGCCGCCCCGCTTCGGTCTCGGAAGCTGGGAGGAGCGGCTATGCGGCCTCGGGGACAACAACATCTGCCAGCGTCTTCGTGACCCTCTACCGGGTTGTCCAAACGCTGACGTGGAACGTGACCAGTTCTGAATCCTCATGGAGAAGTTTGGGATGAATTTCGGGGGTGGCCCGAGCAAGAGGGACCTGCTGGAGACCATTGAGAGCCAGAAGCAGCAGCTCAGCCAGTACCAGACACGGCTCAAGGATGTGGTCCGCGCCTATAAAAGCCTCCTGAAAGAGAAAGAGGCTCTGGAGGCCAGCATCAAGGTGCTGTCGGTATCCCACGAGGCGGACGTGGGCCTCGCAGGTGTCCAGCCGCCAGGCCACACCTCTCCTGACTGCGTGGATGACCGATGCTCCACGCACAGCGAGGACAGCACTGGGACCGCCACCAGCTTGGATACCACGGCCAGTCTCGCTAGCACCAAGGGTGAGCTTGGGGCAGAAGATGACAGACTGGCCCGTGGACCACCACCTCCAAAGTCCGAAGAGGCTAGTGGGTCAGAGAGCGGTGTTAGCAGCAGCAGCGGGGATGGACAGGCTGCGGGTGGGGAGGTGGACAAACGACTGCACCAGCTGAAGACTCAGTTGGCCACTTTGACTAGCTCTTTGGCCACGGTCACCCAGGAGAAGTCCCGCATGGAAGCTTCTTACCTGGCTGACAAGAAGAAGATGAAACAGGACTTAGAGGATGCCAGCAAAAAGGCCGAGGAGGAGAGGGAGCGTCTGGAGGGAGAATTGAAGGAGCTGCAGGAGCAGATGGCAGAAACCAAAGCCCGACTGATCACACAACAGCACGACCGGGCCCAAGAGCAGAGTGACCATGCCTTGATGCTGCGTGAGCTCCAGAAGCTGCTGCAGGAGGAGCGAACCCAGCGCCAAGACTTGGAGCTTCGGTTAGAAGAGGCCCGAGAAGCCCTGGCTGGGCGGGCATATGCTGCTGGTCAGATGGAAGGGTTTGAACTGCAGGCTAAACAGCTGACCCGGGAGGTGGAGGAGCTCAAAGGTGAGCTGCAGGCTCTTCGAGATGAGAAGAATCGGCCAGACCCCCGGCTGCAGGAGCTTCAGGAAGAGGCCGCCTGCCTTAAGAGCCATTTCCAGGCCCAGCTGCAGCAGGAAATGAGGAAGGTAATTATCTTCATCTCCTTCAGTCATTTAGCCTGAAGTGGGAAATATTAAGGCTTTTTTTCTCCTTTGATAGTGGCTGTACTTTCAGTTTTTGATGCTGTTGGAAAAGTTTTATTTGCGAGTCCTGGGAATTCCTGTTCTGTGTTGTTGACAATGTCCACAGAGTGTGCTTCCAACAGGATGTGGAGCTTCTGAGTGTCAGCTGGGTTGGAGCCAGACAGCTCTGAATTTCTGGGCATTGGCATCTTTAACAGCTGTGCTCTGCGAAGCGTATCGTAGCAGCTGTGCAATGAAAGGTAGTGTGTTTGCCTGTAGGTCTATGCCTATGTGTAGGTAGCAGTATGTGCCTACAGGGAGGGTGGCTGAAGAGGGCAACGGGAATTTTCTTCGAAGAAATAACCTCTTGTAATTGCTTTCCGTCAAGATTTGCCTTTAAAGATTTGCCTTTACAGTTCCTCTGTTCAGTTTTGAACCTCCCAGGAGGCTGAGGACTGGAAGCAGGAGCTGGCCCGGCTGCAGCATCACCACCAGGAATATTGAAGAGGAAAAAAATGTCCCCTGATTTCTTTTTTTTTTTAATATATTTTTATTCATTTCAAAAAGGAAGGAAGAGGGAGAGAGAGAGAGAGAAACATCAATGATGAGAGAGAATCATTGATCGGCTGCCTCCTGCATGCCCCCCCTTCCCCTACTGGGGATCGAGCCCGCAACCCGGGCATACGCCCTTGACCAGAATCGAACCCTGGACCGTTTAGTCTGCAGGCTGATGCTCTATCCACTGAGCCAACTGGCCAGGGCATCACCTGATTTCTTAATAGGATTTGGGAACGTACATGATAGACAAGGATAACATACTGAATATGTGAGTTCAGTGTGTAATGGGAGAGAGTGGCAGCACTACAGCAGAATAAGGACTGATATACAGAGGTTCTTCATATCGTTTGGTATAACTTGTGATTGGGAGCAGAACCCTAGCAGGTTACAGGAACTTTTGTGAGCTTCCAAATCAACAGAAAAATCCCCAGTTCCCCTTCCTGTCAGGTCAATCCCCGACCTTTTGCTCCCCTCTCTTGCTTTCTCAGAGTTTGCCATAGAACTCCGCGGCTTTTCTGGATGGATTTCTATCTGTTCCCTTGTTTTACAGACAGCCCTTGCAGAGGATCAACTACGCCAGCAATCTCAGCTGGAAGAGCAGAGGGTGGCAGCCCTGGAGAACCAAATATCCGAGGTGTCGGAGCTGCTGGGCACCTATGAGAAAGCCAAGCAGAAGGACCAGCTGGCCATCCAGAAGCTGAAGGAGCGCATTCTGCAGCTGGACCTGGAGAACAAGACGCTGGCTCTTGCAGTCTCTAGCCGGTCCCCTCTAGACAGCCATGCAGAAGAGTCCAGTCTGGATGTCAATGTCCTGAAGGACAAGATGGAGAAGCTGAAGAGGCTACTGCAGGTGGCGGCCAGGAAAAGCCAGGTGACCTTGGATGTAGAGAAGCTCTGCAACCTGGAGATAATGCCCAGCTCTGAGGCTGCCGATGGGGAGAAGGCTACTGCGCTCTACTACCAGCAGGAGCTGAAACAGCTGAAGGAAGAGTTTGAGAGGTACAAGATGAGGGCCCAGGTCGTCCTCAAGAGCAAGACCACCAAAGACGGTAACCTGGCCAAGGAGCTGGAGGAATCCCAGGAACAGCTTGCAGAGCTGAAGGAGAAGTATATCTCCCTGCGGCTGTCCTGTGAGGAGCTCGAGCGC